GGGTGTGAGGGCTGCCTGGGGCTCCCTGGAACATCTCCCCGAGGTGAGCCATTTCCCTGCTGACTCTGCTCCCTCTGCATTTGCGTGATGAGCTTTTCCCTGTCTCATTCCTCGGCTATTCATTCATCTTTGCTGGGCTCCTCCAGCCCCCATTCATCACTCTCACGTCCGCCATCCACTTTCCAAATGTTTCCTATTTTTCCAGTGATGTATTTCCCTGTTCAGACAAGCTAATCTTGCACCATCAATAACCGGGGTGCAGCTGTGCTCCTCACCTCTGTGCTGGCGCAGGCACATGGCTCTGCCCTGCGTGGGGACCCCGGGTGAGCGGAGCAGCCGCGGGGGCCTCCCGGGAGGACACGGGACCCACAGCAGTGGTGAGGGTCTGGGACACCGAGCTGCCTGCTGAGGTGCATGGTGAAAATCCACTCGCCGCCGGTTAGGATGTGCTGATCAGACAAAGAGCTTCTGCTGGGGTGGAGAGAGAGATGCCTTTTTAGATCTTGTAGGTGGAACTATAAACACTTTCATAAACCAATTCACAGGAGCGGTGCAGATCAGGGTGACTCTTGTGTTTGCAACCCTTGTTGGAATCACATTGGCATGAGCATTCAGAGCAGGAAATACGTGCTTTGCATTTTAATTAGCACTTGCCCTCCAAATAAAAAGGCATTTTTAGAACCTCATTAGCAGAGCCAGTTCAAACTCACACAGTGATGATTCAAATGAGCAACAGCAGAGCAGGCAGGCTTAGTGGGTGCTGGTATCAGAGGTGAAGCTGCCGAGTGTCTGACCCCTTCCCCTGTTGAAGCCTTTGGGGAAAAATGCTGTTGGGGGTTTGTGTCTGGAAGCCTCAGCCAGGTAACTGGGTCTGTCTGACGTTGGGCAGTCACTGGGTAACTCTTGCTTCTCCCCCTGATCTTATCTCCTGGTGTGTATTGGGTGCTTCTCTGTGTCCACAAAGGCATTTGTGCTGCTGCAGTTAGTGGCTAAAAGCCTGTGGCTTTTCATACCCTTTTTTATTTTGTGCAGCTGTCACATGGCAGAGGTGGTCACCCAGAATCACAGAATGTTAGGGGTTGGAAGGGACCTCGAAAGATCATGGTCATGTGAGAACTTTTTGCAGCTGTTTTTGTTGGAGCACATTTGTTGTGGACTTCTGGTCATGGTTTGGAGTACTCTAGGAAGCAGGATGTAAATTAGGAATCACTCTTGTTACAGGAAGGTGCCTCAGAGAATGTATTTAATTGCTTTAGTATTTTTTACACATTTTTGGCCATCTCTAGCTATGATTGACACGAGATTTATTCCATGTCCTTCCTTGAGCTCTGCAGGTCTGAATGAACATGTGCAGCTTCACGGTGCCACAGGACAGGCAGGGTCTGGCAGGTGCTGCTACGCCTCGTCGTGTCTTTGATGAGGCAGTCGGGAAGTCAGGGGTGAGGTGCTGTCCCTGGGGAGATGCTCACAAACGCCACCTCCATGTGCTGAGGCCTCTCTGCTGCTCACACCTCTGATGTTGTTGAAGGCAGAGCAGCCAAGTCCTGCTTTGTTGGGCGCAGCAGAAAGGAGCCTGCAAGGCTGGAGCATCCACCTTGTCGCCGAACAGCGCAGGGAGCCACGGGAGCTGCAAAAAGCAGCCTCCCCCTCAAATACAGAGCAGAGAAAACCAGGCTTGGGCTAATTAAGCTGGAAACGTAACATTGCAATTTGTAGCTGATTAAATCTTTCAAACAATATTTATGTTAATCTCCTTCTGATTTATTTTCTTATAATGCCTTGACTAGGAGATAGTCCGGTGCGTGGGGAAATGCTTCCAGATGGAGCACAGGCCGCCTTGCCAGATGCTTGAAGCTCAGAGTGAGGATTTTTCACTCACTGTGGTTGCAGCCAGGAGAGATGATCTTGTCCATCTCGGACATTTTTGGACGTAGAGGGGGATGCTGAGCTGCAGTTCTTGATTTTGCTGCAGGAATGAGTCTGCCTGTAAGAGGGGAGGGCTGGGAAATGGCGTGTGGGAAGGGGCAGCCATGAGACAGGCAGTTCCTGGCTGGGGATGTTCTCTCTTACACACACCTTGCACCTCTGAGCTGGGGCTTTGCTGTCTTGAGAAGAGGCTGCTGTAAAATGCTCCTTTGAGTTTATCTCGGAGCTTAGAGGGGCCTGTTGCAAAAACCCAGTTTCCTTTTAGAGGGGAGGGCTGGGAAATGGCGTGTGGGAAGGGGCAGCCATGAGACAGGCAGTTCCTGGCTGGGGATGTTCTCTCTTACACACACCTTGCACCTCTGAGCTGGGGCTTTGCTGTCTTGAGAAGAGGCTGCTGTAAAATGCTCCTTTGAGTTTATCTCGGAGCTTAGAGGGGCCTGTTGCAAAAACCCAGTTTCCTTTTACATGCTCCCCATGCGTATCCATTTGTACTGTCCTCCAGCCCTTCCTCCAGCCCCAGAGTTGGCAGGATGCCTGGCACATTTCCACAGGATGCTGATTTAAGGAATTAGTCTGCAGAAGCGTAG